TGCATTTACTGGACATGTAGGCTCAAGTATTATTGGAACACAAGAGATACTTTCATGTTAAAAAAGAAATGTAACAAGGTGCAAAATCATTTCAAATGCTCTTCAAAAGAAATTTTGAATTTGTAAAGTGGCAGAAGGAGGTCATGTGAAACTACAGCATTGCTATCTTTGCATAGCAAGTATTGCATGATTGCAAAAAAAATTGTCATTAAATTGTATGTGCATTTCATTAAATTTCCGAAAATTTTTCATTGTAATGGGAAAGAGACAAACCATAGTCAAACTGTTGGCCGTTTTACAGAGGTAACATATGTTAAGCCAGTGTACATGTTGGTATTACTAAGCTAACAAGGTCTATAATTTATGATAGATTTTATTTGGTGAAGATAATCTATCTCTTTATCTATACTCTTCTATTGTTTTCCTTGTTGTCATTACCTACTTATAAACTACACATGATAGATAGCTGCTGGAAGTGTTTGTGGTCTAGTGATAGGTGAACTAAAGCCTTGTTTTCGTTTGTCCAGTTTTATGAGTTCCTTGAAGGTAATGGATATCTTTGGAAGTATCATTCACCTGAAACACAGTTTTACAATTAAAATTGAAATTTTGAACATTCCCTATAAAAGTTTTTTATTTGATCTCCATTTCATGACAAAAATTCTGTTTGCTTCTAGATAATCTAGGTGAAACTGAAAGTGGTTTTTCAAAACAATAACATGTATAATTGAAATTAAGAAAGCACAGACCTTAGGGTAAGCTTACCTGTGATAAAGAAATGAAACTTTCTATCATCAATGTAACCAGTCTAGGTTCTTTAATGCTTGATGTAATTCATGAGTGGGTGCAGTTAAGCGCACACAGCCCACTCAGACAGTTTTCTTAAGACGTTACTAGAATAATTATTTCTTGTAGCATACAACTAGCTTTAAAACGACAAATCAATTTGCTAGGGAGTATTCAACCAGGAAAATATAATCCAACGATAATTTGTCAGACCTCCTAAAACCAAACACCTTTTGCTTGTTAAGTTGCTGATCAATTTACGAGGAAGGGAGTAAGTCTGAGTCCCAGAAGACTTGTGATTACTTTCATTAGTCTTACACCAACGACCTACAACTATTCCTAGCTAGTTAATTGACCTTTATCAAATTAGTTTCACCTCAAAAGATTTTTACCTAAGATGGAAGTCAGTTGATTTTGAAGCTTGTTCTATTTTGACGGACATTAAGGTCATGTAAAATCTCAATATTTCAAAAGTTCAATTGACAGTCAATCAAATTCCAATAGTAATTTCAACGTTTCTGCATCGACTTTTGAATATTTAATGAAGCTATAAGGCTTTCATCGATATGAGTTTCTAAGTAGTAAATGAAGTTAAAAGCTAGTTGAGATTGACTGGTGTTGATGACATCATAGAATATAATTTGATTAATTAAAAAACTGATATGGGTGTCAAAAGAGATACTAAGAAAGTCAGAAAAAATTGATTTAATCTAGAAAACAAGTTAAGAGTAGTTCTCAAATTGTGAATTTTACTTTTACCAGATGCCTTTTTGTACAGAACAAATTTCAGTTTGGACAACAGATATTACTGGAACTATAAAATTTCACATCAGAATTTTTTTGATTAGTTTTCTTAACATATTTTTACAGTCTTTTTCAATAAAATGTTATTCTATTTCTCTGGAAATTTCTGGACTGATATAGATGAGAATGATTTAATGGTTTGGTACATTTAGATCATTTTAAGCCAAAATTTGATTCAAGGGAGTCTCCTGTTCTCTGAATCGAAATCAAAATAGGTAAATAACAACATTTGTTGAAGAAACTGTACAAGTGCAATATTACCACTTGCTCCACCATCTTTGGTTGCACCCAATGAAGGGGTTTATGAAAGGTACAGAGAAAGAATGATAATCCTACCTAATAATATAAATGATACAATAGTATACTTTATGAGAGTTAATCCTAGGATTAGAGTTTATATAATACTCACTCCTGTTGTTCATCTCAAACAATAGTTCTTACTTACTGAATATAACATAAGGTTGCTAAGTGGCAAGTTGAACAAAGAGATCAGATTTTAAGGAGATATTATGATAAGAATCAGATTTTAAAAGTAAACCTAAGATCACCAGAATATAATGGATCGGTGAGCATTTATCCGGTGAGAAACTGTAAGAGATTGTCTGGTGAAGCTTGAGCTTTTGCAAAGTTTTGATAAAAGTGGACTTTCTTGTACACCAACTTGCATACATATATAGACTGTTTGGAAACTTCAGTGAAACATGCAAATGATATGAAGTTTATTAATTTGATGACCATATATTATATATATTTCAGTATATTAATTTTATGACCATATCTTGCAAGACTGGAATAATTCTGAATTAGAATGAAACATAGACTAGCTTAAAAATGCATGTGTTTTTTGCACTAGATTTGGAGCATAAAATATGTTAATGAATGAATGTATTGAGTGACAGAACAGTAGACAAGATTTTTGTGTGCAGTTTTGTTTCAATTATATGCTGCATCACTGTTTTTCTTGTTTAGAAACTTGGCGGCAATTCTCCAAAATCTACTTACTAATCTAGAATATCTGTCAACACTGTAGACAAAAAATATCCTGCCCATTAAATGTCAATATGTAAAGTTAAACTGATAATATTAATGATTTTAACATGACAGATTGCCTATAAAACTATTACGATCTGCACAAAAATATACCCCCAACTGTTCTTCTGCACACACAACATTTTAGAAAAATTGAATTTAAATTTGATGTATTTTTTGGAATACTCTGTTTTGATAGTAGATTCAGGTTTCAATAGACCAGAGTATAATGTGAAGGAAGGAATATATTCATGGCATGACCAGTATTCAGTTTTTTGAATCATGCTAGTTTGTCTGTCATGCACTTCAACTCAAGTTCATAACAATCTAACAAATTTGATGTCCAATATGTAGATGTAGAATTGAATTCCCTTTCAAATGAGAAAAATTATCATACCATGACCAATATTTTTGACTTCCGAGCCAAAAGAATATGAGATTTTGTCAAAACTAGAGAGAAATGACAGACATTCTTTAGACCACTCCTCCCAAAATTTGGCAGTAATAGATATCATGAATAGATATATTTTTAAGTTAAACTGCACTACCACAGTTTTTTATGAGCCACAAGAGTTTATCACAAGTATTCAGACATATTCATCATGTTTAATTATACATGCAATTCAAATTTTAAAAAAGAACAACCATTGTCTTGTATGTAGAAATATTTAATGTGACAACTCAAAGAGAAGAAAAAATAGAAAGTAATTCATTTTATGAAGTAAAAAGAGTAAAGTATCCATGAAGTGTACCTCTTATAAAATGGAATATTTGCTAGTAATAAAAATAAGTGGACTATGTCCTGTGCTCAGAGTTTCAAGATATAAAATTTATCACCCATCACTTTGTATTGTTATAAATTTACCAGTTTACAAGTAGTTTGAACAGCTTTATGGTAAAAATTAAAATTGTGCTTGGGAAACCAGAAGAATATTCATTCAAGTGAGATTAAGTGTAAAAACAACAAGTGAATTTAAGACTTCACTGATAGATAATACTTCAGCTATTACTTTGGTTAGAGTTGACACATAACAATAGATGCATGTATGGTCACACTAGTGTATGTTGACAGTCTATATCCCAGTTTATATTGTGTGCTCAATTTGGTGAATCCTGTGGAAGAATTGCATCAGGTATCTGGAAGATTGTGTCTGGACTGTTTCTTAGATCACTCACCCTTTGCATTACTTGAGATAAATACCCTATTCATCATGATGAGACTATATACAATTCACATACTTCCCTATCTAGTACTTGGTATATATCTGATATATATCAATATCAATCATATTTATATTAATTATTATCCAGTATTGACCTGAATCTCCTAATTGAGCTACAGAATATGACACTAGAGAAAAGACATGTTTAATGTGAATGACCTTAATACATAAATTTAGGTTACTCATACCATAAATACCTTTAATATATTTCTCTTGTCTTCAAAGTTCAAAGGTGAAATTTTATGGAAAAAGGGAGAAATGTTGACAGGTGATTGGCAGGATAATGATGGGTAGTTATTGTCACTGTCATTTCATTTTCATAAATAATCATAAATTTACAAAGATTGATTTTATTTATTAAATCTCCCAGACATATTGAAATTAAATATTAAAGGTACAAATTACACTGATGTATGTAATACTTTTAGTATACTTCTACACACATATTCTACTAAAAAAGTATTGTATAAGACATTTCAGCCTTCACTACTTTCTACAAAATGCCTAGGAAATGAAATAAATATAAATTTTAATCTTAACAATATTCCTTATTGTTATACATCAAAAACTTAATATTTCACTAACAAAATTTTCAGTCTCGCTGAATGATTTATTTGTATTCACAAATTTGTTTCATTGGCCAAACACTTTATAATTGTTAACCATACCATAACTAACTGCTTGAATCCAAAAAGTGGAAATGAATGCCTGGTGGCAAATTTGTTCTCATCCTGCACTGCAATGATTGGTGTGCTGTCTTCCTTAGTCAGATGATGTGAAGAACAATATGACATGTTCCATTCATGACAAATTTACTGACCAACCTCTCCAAGATAAGAGATAAGTGTCATCAAACAATACATGTATTCAGCACGTCCCATCTCATCCTATACTAGATTTAAGTAGTAGTTCAAGTGTAGAAGGAAATTTTGTGTTAGTTGTAGGAAATTACCTCTTATTTTTGCCAGGATCTGATATAAAAGATGTTGAATTACATAACATTTATATATTTAACCAAACCTGCCAAAAACAAATCATTTCATATATCAACAAAGTTTAACTAATTCTTCCAGACATTAGTGTTTGTTTCTAAAATTGTGGAATAAGAGCAGACAGGGTTGTTTAAAACAGTGATAGTGCAGCCATTCTTGAAGAAAAATGGCCGCCTTGCGGCTGACAGTTTCCCAATGGGCTTGTGCCTGTTTACTGTGGTTATTGTTGTGTTCTGGACAATGTTTTGATTTAGCATGTATCGAAGTGAAGAAATCATTTGCTTCAAAAGGTTTTGATGAAAATGATGTTCCTATTCAAGCTATATCAGGTAAAATTTTCTTTGTTATCCATTTTACACAGGCCGCCATAAAATGTCCAGACCAGTCTATGATAAAATGTGACCATTTAGTAAAATCAAGTGGTCTGAGAACGGTTCTTGCATTGTTGTGTAATTCTCCACACGCTTACCTGTGGAACTCTTCCTAAAGAAGTTGAATTTAGTTCATGTAGTCACCTGGATGTAAACAGCAATAGTACTGAGTAACAACCAAATTCAGTGGGAAAGGGTTTTCATTACAACAATTTATTGAGTCCGATCTCAGCACTGTAGAACCATTCTTAGACCAGCTCCTCGAGGTCGGCTAGAATTAAAACGATTCTCAAAATGCTTAACTGTTTACATTACACAAAATTCATCCATTCTGTTTTCAAAATCATTTTGAGAAAGGATACTTCTTGTGATGTAAAAAGGGGTTTAAATCATTGAACTGGATTATTCTCACGGTCTCTGTCTTTTCTTCCCTATTTTTTGAAAACTGTCAACTGAGAAGTTAATAATTATTCTAAATAATACACAGTCATAATTATATACATGTATATTACATGATAAAATAATAGATGTATGAGAAATCAATTATATATTAGGTACATTATGGTAAATGACCTATAATTAATATAATTATTATGAAATATGGCCTGCCTGTCATACTGATTTAATTATGTCAATTTACCAATATTATCATCCCTGGTGGCAATGGGTGACAATTGTTTTCAAATACCAAATGTCTAGGACCTTATCAATCATAATTCACTTGTTATTTTACGTAATAATCTTTTTTAAGTATTTAAATTGATGCTGAGTTCATTGCACGGCTGCTACTTTGACATTTATTCTGTGATCATTCATACATAAACTTCATCCTTTGAAAATAAAAAGCTCATATAATTACCATATTTTTTGACAACAACAGCAGGGGTCCATTGTCCTGAAAAAATCTTTTCCATGAAATTTCTATTCCACGTATGTAAAAATCATGTCAGATGCACATTAATATTTTAAACAACAGTCGGATATTGCCTTATCAATTCCCTTAAAAGCTTTATTTTTTTAACTTTTTAAAATAAAGAGGTTCACGTGTAAAAAGAAAATTGAGAAGGAGAGAGGTTTTAAATTATAGTCCTGTCTCATCGTCACATAGGAAATGACTCATCACTTGAAGAAATGAGACAAAATAATTAAGAAATGAAGAAGAAAAGTGATTATTGATAATTTTCAATTTCAAACTGTTTTACATTCAAATCATACATTAGCTTTTTTGTTTTCTCTTTTAAAGCAAAACTAATTTCACTCTAGACAAGAACAGTGCAGCTGTGCAGACATTGTACCTTATTCCTACAGTAAATACTTGTAAAGTAAATTAGGAATTATTGGCCAACACTAAACAGATGTGAATTTTTTTTAAATGAAACAAATAAATTACTGTCTGCTTGTCTTTCTTTAAATTGCATTTTATTGTTTTGTGTAGAAATGAGTTTTCTTTTTTGCTCATAGATTGATTTCTACATTTATATGTTAAATTGGTATTCTAAACTTAAAGTGTATGGAAAGTCAATTATGGGCCACGTGACACCTACCGTGTTTCTATATATCCTATTGTATCCAATTCCAATCTTATAATCGATAATTAAGATACATGTATAAGTAAAACAAAGACGATTTGTCCGCAAATTACGTCGTATTAATCACATGACCACATGACGTCATTTTTGGAACCATCGTTAACCTCATAACCTGGATAGGCTACGTTAATGTTTACAATATTTACATCAAAATGCCGAAGCGCGGTGTTGCGCAATTTTGCAGCTATACCTGTAAAGAAAACAGTTAACGGCTTTCCAAAAGACGCTGGTATGGTTCAAATTCGTACAATTGAAAAGGGCTGACTTCAAGGCCGTCGACTGAAAACTCTCAGTCTGTTATTTATTTCACTTCAAAACTCTTTATTTTTATAGAAAATATTCTAAATTGGAAAGTTGACATAGCCAGAAAAGTGTTTTAAAATTCGATTGGCATATGAGGCCCCATTAGAAATATATTATAGGTTCATATTTTTAATTAATACTAAAAAATCGGCATTTAAACTTAGCCAAAACGGTGAAATATCAATTTTCCAGCATAAAACGGTGGTAATGGCGGCCATTTTGGAACACCTTTGAAGCGTAACAAAAGTTGATTTCATGAAATTTCAGTTTATATGAAACACTAAACTCATAAATGATTTAAAACTATCATTTCTTAATTTAAAGTATATTTTGAGCGGATAATTTCATATTATTTCAATTATTTGATCAGAAGGTCTACTTTCATTTTATCATTATTTGGTAGGCCTATCCTATGTGTGTGTTTTACCAATTCAAATTTGGGAATGTAGGAACTCATGATGTTATGAAAATTACCTATTGTCTTTAAAATATATTATGATTAAGTTACATGTATTATAAAATAGTTTTAATCTTATAATGACTTGTTCTGTATATCACTTGTAAAATGAGTGTGAAGAAATCATACAAAAAACGACCATATTTCTCCAATATATACCCCATTCATCATGGAATATCTCAAAGACTAATCAAGATATTTTAATTCTGTAAAGGTTTTCATCGAGAGAAGATATGAATATTTTGAAGCGGGCGATTTTTAATACAAAATGAACGCTACGAACCAGTCTTATATTTATTTCCCAATCGATCTCCATTTTCATGAATTTCGGCAGTGTCATCGTCCTGATTTGGCCTTTCACTGTCAGTCACCCCTTCCCTAAGATGCCTTACTGGCTCGAACTGGTAGCCCACCACACCCCCAAACATTTCGTATTCATCTTCTTCGTCTTCAGAATGAGATGAACTGTGAGTGCTTGACGAATCGTTTTCATTATAATACATAACACCCGCCACATTGTTTATCTGTCAGTGTAGCGTTCCCAGACACCACCGCGTCAAGTCCATAATTTACGTCACGCATACATTAGCGTACATTCGGATATTTCCGGAACGTGCTCGTGGTTTTCCGTACAAATCATCGATTTTCCATCAAAATATCACTTTTTCACCCTCACGAATTTTTTTTAATGCAAAAAGGATAGTGGCATTCAATTCAATCATTAATTATTTATCAAATGCAAAAGTACACCATATTAAGACTTTCCATACTCTTTAAAGTAAGTTATTTTTATCATCATGATCATGAGTGAATGTACAGGTATAAATGGGCATATACTGAAGATAATTTGAAAATTGTACCGCTTATGTAAATGCTTTGGTAGAAATTTAGTTAAAATTGACCTGTGTTCCAAACCAATTTTTTGAAAGAATAATAATGAATGATATTTTTTCTCTTTTTCAAATAATGCGGGTAATAAAATGTACAGATATAAATGAGTATATACTGAACATAATTTAAAAGTTGTACGTTATGTGAAAGTTTAGGCAGAAATTTGGTTAAAATTGACCTATGATCAAAAAAAATACCTACGAAGTAAACTTTTTGTTAGATATTAGCAATAATGTTTATACTTAATATGACTATTGAATTGTCTGTTATTCAAATTTATCCTAAGATGAATAAAAATAGGAGATTGTTAAAGATTGTAAATAATGAAAGAATTTATATCGTTAAATTCCTGTAAATTGATAGTTTATTTGCCAATGTTGAAACTTGAATGAAAAGACAGCAAGAAAGCTGTTGAAGTACCACGTATATGAGACTACTTCAGATATAAAAAATGGTAATCAATTATTTGGCAGTGTGTTAATTTATTGGTTTATACAAGTAAATCAATAATAGTGAATAGAATCTACTAGTCTTAACAATAGTCATTGAAAAATATCAAAATACTGATAATACTAGAACATTCCATTTTATTTCTATATTTTAATCTTATCTTGCAATGCTAGTTTCAAATATACCAAAGATACAAATGGAAACTTTTAGGGTAAGGTGATTTTCAGAAGAGGATCTTCAAAGAGTGTTTATGGCAAAACAAATTTATGAAGCGATTTTCTGGAACTAATATTCCTTAAGCCTTGGTGAATTTTCTGGAAACATAACTGTTGTGTAATAATAAATTAAACTGCACAGACTTTAAACATACATATTTAGTCATTTCGCAGAATTACCCAATATTTCACAATAGCTCTGTCAACCCAAAAGCTAACAAAAATGGTATCATAATCTTTCCAATAGGAATCACTATGCTGTCAAAGTTCGATATTGAATTGGATTTTAGATGACGTGGTTTTGTTACTGATACATTATAATTCATTAGTTCCATTCATGTGTTAAAATATCAGATTAGGACTACCATTATCAGGATAACAATCAATGACTCTATATATCTATATATGGTAAATGATCTTAATGATAACATGTTTCTAGTTTAAGTCAATATTATCAGTAATCATATATATAACATGTATTCTAATATCACATTGAAATATAATCATATCACAAAGATCAAAACCTTACATTCATCATATATTAATGAATCATGCAATTATTGTACATTTGGTAAGTTGAAAAGATGCATTAGTTCTATTTCCTGCTATTTTACATGTGCAAAAATTCCAAGTCAAGTCCTCCAATATACAGATATCTTGTGTGATCTTGTTGAAAACTGGCAACAGCCTTTCTAGTACCACTCTCTACCTGGGTTTGTCAACTGCACAAGAGAAACTAAGCAAATAATAATTATTTGGTATATTCATTTTTTTCATCACAATGTTAAGACTACAAAAGCCACTAATCTTGTATCATGCAAGTTTGTACATGCAGGGATTTGATTGGATTGTATGCTATCGAATACAGTCAATCAGAGCTCTGGACGGAATATATAAAAACAATTAGCCGTAATAACTACAGTATTTTTGTTTGTCGACGATTCTGTATTTTGTGGCGTACATAGTGTCTATTGTAGTGAAGGTATAAGAAGAAGTTTGTAATAGCTTGTTGACATTATGAAAATTGTTCATTCATAATTTAAGAATACTTCCTAGCTACTGAATATTCAAGTGATGTCACATGTCACTCATAAGTCAGGAAATTCACTGTTCCTGGAGGATTGGCCTTGAGTCACCTCAGAACTTGTAACAACTATTGACCTTAACAATTAAGAAATAATTATAAACTGTAGGAGGTATTAAGTAAAGAATTTATTAAAGTTGTAATAATTCAGTAGTCACCTGTTAACTATTACTTACACTAGAAACAAACAGTTTTCATCTTAAATCTTTAACTTTACTTATCTATTGGTTTATTTTTAGATTTCACTAGTCACTTCTAACATGAAAAAACATTATTTTCAATCTCTTTCTATCTAGAAAATGAACTCACTTTCCTTATTTCATTTCTAGTGCAAATATATTTTATCATACAATTATTGGCATAGGGTGTCATGATATCTGAACCTTGGTGCACACTGGTTTATGGACAAATATCTTGTGCTGTATACACAAATAGCTTGAAGTCAGAAGGTTTATCTTGAGAATTCTAAATTGAGAAATCTGAATAAACTACTATCTGGAGAAGCCTAAATTGAGAAGTGTAAAAACTTCTATCTTGAGAAATTCAGAAGTCTAAATTACTATATTGAGCATAAGTCTCAACTTCTATTTTAAAAATCATAAACTACTATCTGGAGAAATCTCTAAACTACTATCTGGAGAAATCTCTAAACTACTATCTGGAGAAATCTCTAAACTACTATCTGGAGAAATCTCTAAACTACTATCTGGAGAAATCTAAACTACTACTATATTGAGAAGTTTAAACAATATTTTGAAGTCGAAACTACCGTCTTGAGAATTCCAAACCACTATCTTGAGTAAAAACGATAGTTTTTTTTTTTTTAACCACTATCTTGTGACAAGTACAGTAGATATGATTTAGTACATAATAATTACTGAAACTTAAACCAATAATCTCTTTCTTTTTTTAATATGTTGCTAAGATACCTGAAAGAATTCAAGCCAATTGATAAGGGATTTAGTGCATTTTCTGTTATCATTGTTTGTCTAACAGTAAACTTATATGTATTGGTTTCTTTTTCTTGAATAATTTTGAAAACCTGTATTCTGTTTATTAATCTGTGCTTACTTGAAAATCCAGTGTTCAATCCTAGTATAGGTTGTGATAATATATGAAAAAGCGTCTAGTCATTACGTTAAGATCTCTTGACAGTTGCAGAATGAAAAAGAGTAGGCTAATGCTGCTGTATTGACAAAATTTTCCTCATTTCACACTGCATGGTGTTGCCTGTTTTGCCTGACCAATCAGGTTCAGAAAAGTAAGACATAAAACTTCATTTCATTTTGGTTGTTAATACAACCTGCATGAAGCTCTTATTAAGTAGCATTAATGAGAGGTTGTTTGTACTTCTATTTGTTAGTTTCTTTCTGTGATTTGTCAGATTTATGATAAATCGGTAGATAAGCTTTATTAAGAAGTTTCCAAGTTAATTTCCCACCCACCTGTATCCTTGAAATTTATTTAATTTCACCTCCTACAGTATATTTTTTCAGAAAAATTAATCCTTAAACTATCTTTAAAAAAACATAAAACCTATAAGTTCCAATATAATCCTAAGATTAAAGACAATTTTTCATGATGTGTTACAGGGAGACATGTTTTGGGGTTGTGGTTGTTTTTGTGATATGCTTTAAGTCTTGTTAACCATGTATCATAAGATCTCCAAGATGAGATGAGAAGATAAAAACTTAATGATATGAATGAATGAAGTATCAAAGTATATAACATTATTTATGAATGCTAACTTCATGAATGTATTTATGACTTGTATATGGGTTTTCTCAGCTGGCTTTTCCACCTGAGTGGTAAGGAAAAAATAGCATTTTATCATCAGTGTATAGGTCAGAACAGTAGGTTATATAGTTAACTGGTGAAAGGTCATTATATTTACGAGCTAGAATGTATTTGCCATTATTATAAAAGGTTTTGACCCTATTTTGTAGGCATAATAAAGTTTGCTGTCTCTATGGCTAATATATGAAGACTGTATCAAAGACAGCCATCATAAAATCTTTTTTTTATGTATAAATAATGATCGTTTAGAGAGACAGGAAGATTTTTATAATAATCTTGTCTTTAATCTTATATTATAGAACCTTCTTTTATTATAAACCTGTAATAATCATTCATAAACAAATAATACAATAGAAAATAAGAGTACTTTTAGAGTACCAATTGCTTTTAGCGAATTTCTAGTCTAAACTCAAAGTCAAAATCAAACAGTTCATAATTTGAAAGTTTCACAGTTAACTATCAGCCCTGTGGAACCAGTTTGAGTATTGGATGTTTACATAAGCTGCCCAATGAGTCATAGTTGGTAACCAATTTTGCAGGTTTCAGATAACAGTTAGCCCTGGTTATGGTGGTTTAACAAAGGTTCACAATCTGGAGTCAATGTTCTGTTGGTAACCAAATTTATGGATTTCATTACAAAAAAGGTCTAACTGGTAAATAATTGTATTTTTCCAGGTGAACATCTAGAAGTATGTCCAAGATCAAGTACATGTTGTACACAGGATATGGAGTCTAAATTACAATCACTTAGTAAAAAAGAACATTTACAACAAATGGATGAAGCGTATAAACTTATAAAAATTACTTTTTCATCAAGAACCAAGAAATTTGATGGTAAGTGAATATTTTTTTTATTTCATGAAGAGTTGTTAATTATTAAACAGAGATTTATATGAACATCTTGATCTAAAGCAATAACATTTAATTGTCTAAGAAAAACATGACAGTAAACATTGAACATTCAACTTAATATGAAACATGCATGAACATACACATATAAAATGCTTCCATCTCTACTCATGCTTTATAACAGTGTGAACACCTATATAAATATCATTGTAGCAGCATTTCAGCTATACCTCTTCTTTGAATTCCTTTTTTATAATGAAAACTCCTTTGTAGGCACGTGAACATATGAACACTTCCTGAAATAATTGCCTTGTCTTTGCAAAGTTTCAAAAGAAAATGGTTGGTGTAGAAAATGGAAATGTATTCTGTGGTATTCTGATTGGTCTTCAATCAGTTCAGTGCCTTTATTTAATACAGGAATATTTTATTACTCCACATCTTCATAAAAATTTCTATGATATCAGTATCCAATATAGTAAATTGATGATTATTGTAAAACTATAAAATACTAAATTAAATTCCATTATCTCACGTAATAAAATCACATTTATCACACACAACTTCTGTATTGTGTAGTGTTCAAGAAGTTTCTGTTGGAATTTGACCTGATTTTCATGCAGGAAACTTATGGAACTGAAGACCGTCACTGTGAAAAAATAGGTGTAAAGTTAGCCAAGAGAAGAAATAGAAATCGGTAACATTGGCATATATATGAATTAAATTGCAATGATATACGTTTACAGGTGAATTCCACAAACTAACAGAATTCTTCATTCAAGATTGGAATCTGAAATTTTGACACAGGTCTGCATATTTGACAAAAAACAGACTGAGAATTAAAGAGTTTTGTTTTTGTATTGTGAAGATTCGTGTGTTTTTGGCTATCATGTATTAGAACACCTAAATAAACACCAGCCTATTGTAGTAGAGAAAACTTAATGGTAAATTGCTGTTTTTAAACGTCTGTCATAAGATCAAAGAAATGGAATAAGAATTCCTGAAAACCACTTACAGGCTTGTAAAAATGTTTGTTCTCTTGATGGCTTGAGAAATATTTTGTGAAGTTACATTAATTTCACACCAACTTCTGTGAAATTAGATTGAATAACTATGGAATTCTAACAATGGCTACTCTATAAAAATTGGTTAAAGTGAACTCTGAAACAGCTGTGATATAGAGTTTATCTGTTAATCATTATATATCCTCTTTAAAATACTCTTACAAAGGTCAGGAAGGTCAACTCTGCTGTTAGCAAATATCCAAAACACTGAGTTTTAACATCTCCAATCTGGTTAATTAATGATGTATAATTTAAGTCTTGTCTATTCCTGTGTTACAAACTTTTAAACTTAAAAAAAATGATGATTAATGACAACTTTTCACATAGCATATTACATGTCTTTATTTGTCATCATAAAACTGTAAAAGTTCATTTTTCTTTGCCAAAAATTCATTGTACTAAGAACATGTAAGAAAACAAAGTTTAGCCTAAATCTTATTCAGTGTTCTGTTGAAATTCCATCTGTTTGGCTGCCAAAAAGATAAAAATTCTGGTCTAGATCAAGAAAGAAAAATATTCTAGCTAAACTAGCTTTTCAACCAGTATTCTGAAATGATTTATATTATCTTTCAAAATATGTCAAACACAAATATTTCTATTTTTGCAATTTTTAACAATACATGATATTGATATATATTTACATATCATACGATGAACTTTGGTCTTTAGCTGGTTATTAACATGTATTTTGCATGTTCTTTCCATAGAAACGTGGCTTATCCCTTCCTAACCAGAAAGCTTGGATAGCCAAAATATTTTTAATGTCTAGGGTAAATCTAAAAATCGGCAGAATCAAAACAATTCGTTATATTTATTAGAAAAATTTATGATTGTGCAATGCCATTATACATATAGATTTTATACTTCTATAAAATATGAATAGTTGCAGTAAGAATATTAATGAATAAACAAAATATCTGATGTCAGATATAATGACTTGTCCACCCATGATATAATAAGTGTCTGACCGGTTGTCAAGGGTTATAACTACCGGTACTTAATAATAACTGTGTCCGGTCATTGTCTATATTAGTAATACCACTAAACTTCAATTACCACAGATATTTATAAGTACTTTATTACATCTAATAGAAAGTCTTCTTAATTCACAATCAATTAAAAAGAGCGACCATTGAACAAAAATGTCGAACTGAGAGACTAGAAATACTACTCACAAAACAGATATTTCATCAGACTAAAATATTATTAAATTACAACTTAATGAAAATAGATATGCCTGTGCCCATTATATTTTAATGTGAAATGATACTCTATTTGTTCTATAAGTGTGTCTTACCCAGATGCAAGGAAATTTTACAGAAGGATCTAATGTTCTACAGTCTTTTAATATTTAGAAAAAAACGACAATGTGGCATTGTACCCCACAATTTGACTTATTCTAATGTAAAGATGACATTTTAGCTAGTAATAATATCTAACTGTCAAAGATACTTTCACATATTATGTCTACATAATTCGAAATTTTTCATATGTTGACACAATGTTCAAAATTAGAGGTCACATGACACCAACCAACCCCTCCTTTTGTAAAAAAAAAAATAGAGTATAGATATTGCATGTCAGGAAATTTGTATGATTCAAAGCGACATGTTGAGATTGTGTTCTGAAAGAAAAGAACTAGCAACATGTGGTGTTAATTTGTGTCTTTCACCGGATATATTCCCCCAAACATTTTTTGGTGCAGAAGTCTGATGCCTCTTGAAATTTGTATATTTGAATGGAAATGTCATTATGATCAGATGACCTTATGTCAGATAAGCTCCTCCCTATCCTTCTTCATAGTTTATTTAAATTACTGACACATATTTATTATCATGACTTATTTTTTCATTTCACAGACCTAGAATTTTATCAAAATATTCATTTTCAATTTTTAAAAATATTGTGAGGGCAAGGTGGAGCTTTTGTCAATCAAATTTCATCTTGTTATATTTTAATTCGATTAAACTTTTAATTACATGACACTTAAACGATACCATCACCACCATTGGTAGGGTGTGTATAGTAATTAAATTATAATTAATGACTTAATTATAAGATTATATTCATACATGTAAAGAAGCAACAAGTTATGCTAGTAAAATAATATTTCGGATCATAAAATCCAGTTTTACGACTTCTTATTCTAACCCTTCTCTTTAACCTGACACTAAAATACATTGAAACGCAAAAACATTTCTTTTTGCTTATCATTAACAGAGTTTACAAGTAATCTAACAGAAACATTAGACGTTTTTCACCAGTTTTAATGATTTTACCAGTACACCATAGTGTTATACAGTTACTTGTATTTACCCGCCAACCGCCATTTTCTTCTTATGTTTTCATTTGGGATAACATTCTTAATATGCTTGATAAAGCATGAGAGAAATGGCCATAAAACAGCACCTTTACCCAGTTAGAACATAGTTTATTACACGTCAATAGTGAATGAATAAATACTATCAGAATTTTATTCTTTATTAATTGCTTATCCATTCTCCATGATGTGTACATGTTCATTTTGATGTTCGGCAATGACTTTGATGAATATGTCTGAATTATGAATAAGGGTACACAGTTCTTTGACTAGATACTTTTAATCAAAAACAAGACAGTAGGCATGCTGATAATCAAATATTTTATGACTGAAATTTTTAACGCGTACTGATTCAACAGAGGCTGAATCTGAATTTGTTGCTGAAATGAGGCTTACATATCTGATGCATTGCACAATGTCTGAGTGCAATATCTGGTATATTTTGACAGTTAAATATTCTATGGCTAACAAATAATTCAACATTTATCTGTAAAAATAAGCTTGAGATATGCAGATAAAACCAAGCACTTTGCCAACCCAATTGCAGCACAAAAACACCTTCATACCATATTGAAATATTTGAAATAATGGGGTTGTACCAAGATGCACAATGTTGATTAGATAGGAATCAACATTTAAGAAAAAAAAAACATTATATAGATCACAATAGCATCAAAGGAATTTTGTTATACTGTACATCCATAGCTTTTATACCTTAAATATCCCTAGGAAACTTGAATCTACAGGCTTTGATAGCTTGTCATAATTTATTGGATTAATGGAAACTTCAGAAAGGCACTTAGACTTAAACATTAGTTTTGCTTTGATTTAAACATTAGCTGCACTTTACTTGGCCATTTAATAGGACTTGAGAAGTCTTATGGCAAGGAAAAAAGAAAAAAATTGAAAGGTAAAGAAAATAATCAACAATCTTTTTGAGTTACCTAAAGTAAGCTGATATGATGAGTTCTTGATTGGACTTTGTTTGGTCTAGAAAAGTAGATTAAAACACACTAAAAGGCTTGAAAATGGTGAGAAGATAAAAAGAGTTGAAGTAATAACAATTGATTTCAAGTTAATTTGGTCGTAAGAAATCAATGGTAAGCTGATAATAGGTAGAGTTGTCTTCTCCTTTATCCTCATTATATTTACCTCTATCTGTCGTAATGATGAGCTCCTAAAATTAGAATTCTATTTTATCTTTAAAACTAAAATAGAATTTGCTCCTGGTCAGACATGGGTCTAAATTAAGCTCTTTGATATCATCTGTTGCAGAAAGTCCCCAATTATCCTCAGAAAAGTTTTGTGGGCATTTGTAAGCATGGAGTCATAGCTGTTTAATCATGTAATATAATTACTTTAGAAATGAAAATCTTAGAGACTACCTTAAAATAGCTAACATGTTGAGTTCTAAGTATGAAATCTTGTTACTTATAGAACGTTTAGAAATTTGAAACAATTTTCCCTTATTAAATAAATGTTATAAGAATTAATCAATGAAATTTGAGTGTATATTAATAGGATTTCACTGGACAAATGTGACATTCTAATTATTTCATATGTTATTAATTTATAGAATGTCTAGGAGTTTTCAAATTTTACAA